GCAAATATAACACTAGGAAGCTCAACTATCAAAATAGCGCTATCAATTGTAACTATACAGAGTTCAAATTCAACATTGTCAATTCAAATTCAACACATATATTTGAATTTTCCTATGCTGCGTTTGAACTGACAATGACGAATTGATTTCCCTGTTGTTTACATTAAAATTTTTGTCATCGCGAATTTCGAAGCTTCCTCAAATTACCGCAAATTTTAGCAAAAACGTAGTTTTCAGAAATACATGTATTTTCCTTCTTTTGAGCCGTTCTCGTCCTAATTTATGCTACTAGAATCTATTTTTTACCGCTGACTTTGGTACACTATGTTCCAGCGTTAACCCATCAAAATAACAAAATAGAGAGCTCAAATGCAGCAATGAAAGCTCAAATAATATATATTATATCAAAATAGTCAAGTTAATTCCACATACAGAGTTCAAATTCAACACAAAGAAAAACGTAAGCAAATGTCAGCTCAAATGTAATCACAGGAGAACTCAAATGTTAACATTAGGGAAATCAAATTCGCCATTGTCAGTTCAAATCCAGCATAGGAAAATTCAAATTGAACAATACGAAAAACTACGAAACTATGACGTAACCATCGTCTCCGAGTCAGGGGAAGCTACCCTGTCTCTTAGCAACGTTCGTTGTTTACTGTTCACGTCTCTCGCATTCAATACTTACCGTCAGCTCTCTAGATCTAGAACTAAATCTAGATTTAGATCTAAATCTACACTTTTTCCCTATCATATATCAAATAGCAAGTTCAAATGCAGCAATGAAAGTTCAAATCTGTGTCTTAGCTACGTTCGTTGTTTACTGTTCTTGTCTCTCTCCATCAGTTGTCTAGATCTAGATCTAGATCTAGATCTAGAATCTAGATGATCTAGGCTAACCGTCGCCGTCATCTCGTTTTGTTAGATTCAACACTTCGACAGTTGTAACAGTTCTTACCAGGAAGACACAGCAACATATTAAGCATGCCTGACCAAAAGTCAAACCATACAAAGAGTCAGTCTCGAGGATAAACAGAGGACACCGGTAGATTATACCAGAAGCCTTTGTGCGAGGTGACAATTTCAATTATACAGAATGAATGTTGCAGATCAGCCGAAATACCGCACACGGTCACACAGTATACACCGCACACAGTATACACCGCACACAGTATACACCGCACACAGTATACACCGCACACAGTAGGCCTACACAGTACCGTACACTGAGCAATCGAAACTGACGACGTTGTTGAAAAGACATTTGGGAAAGTAACCGCGGAAATAAAAGATGAGCTGTTTTTGATAGCCGAAAGCCACCCAGATTACACTTTCAACAAAATAAAAACAGGTTTTCGAATGGTTCGGCCATACACATCTCGCATTTGTCGCCGTGGCTACTTTGAGCAGATTATATGA